GAGCAAATAGTTAAGGAGTTTAGAGTTTAATGCGATACAAAAGTGGTTTCTGAGATCAAGGAAGTGCAGGTAGTATTGTTTTGTTTCCAGATGAAAGAAAAAGTGAAAAGACCTGACTTGTTCATCCAGCTGCTTCTAAATTGGTATACCATGACAGAATTTACCTGATTCCAAAACAAACAAACAAAGATTTCTAGTGACCCTACCACTCGGATCAGCAGCTATCCCACTCAGTAGTCCTCTCCTAACACAAGCTATAAACTAGGCATTATTTCATATATGAGAGAGGAGAATTTCTAATGTGCAACATCTAATGTCCCAAGTTCAGCAGCTAGGAGGCATGATAATATCACATGCTTCCACAGGCAGTATGGGCTTTTTAAGCCATGGATATTAAATATCTTTAGTGTAATCTTATATATAGTAATAAATATCTTTAGTGTAGTCTATTCTTTGAGATGTGTGACCTCATATATCTCCTAGCTTTGGCCTGAAGACAGGGCAGTGGGCAGGTCAGAAAACCTTGGAGTGCCATGCTCGGAATGCAAGAGTCAACCACCAGGCCAGGGAACATTAAAGCAGAACAAGTCAGCTACTAAGACTGTTTGACACCATAGTATGACCAGATGAGCAGCAACATTTGCTCTTGACCAACATCCGATCTGTACGCTTTTTGTGAGTTTGAAACTGTTTTCAGCTGGGCTATTGGCTCACCTGTACTATACTTTGCTGTGAAGAAAAGATCACAAAGGACTATGTTCACTAAGGGCCACAATCCTGCCAACAGTTGTGCATTTTGGTGACTTTGTATCCGAGTAGTCCCTTTGAAGCCAATGGGATTATTTGAATGAATAAAGTTACACATGTGCATGTATGCTTGTAGGATCAGGGTCTATCATAGCAGCTTTCTTGGGGGGAAAGGGAAAATTTCCAACGAACTCTGGCTATGGGCAGGCTAGTTAAGCACTTTACTGTTTGTTTTGGTTTTGAAGAGGAAATGAAGTAGTCTCAGGAAGGCAGAAAAGTTTGTCAGAACAAACCCTTCACAACCCAAGACTGGGACACTGGGGAGTAGGATGGTCTAGGGTCCCCATCTATCCGCAAGCGTTTACAACTGGGTAGTATCAGAAATATCAGCATTAGCAGATCACCCCATCTACTGGAAAAGTGGGTAGTTGTTCTCTGAATACAAATTACAAGCAATCAATTTCTGCTATTTTGCTTCTCCAAAGAGATTGAGATATGGGTTCAATCTGAAGTGTCATATCAGTTTCTGTGTCCGAAGTCTTTAAATATAAAAACTCTGAAATCAGTTTTGAGGGAGTCCTTAAAGGAAATGTGCATTTTATAGATGCCTACTTATTAAGGCCAGAAAAGGTCATTGTGACCATCTAGTCTGACCTCCTACATAACACAGGCCATAGAATTTCACCAAGTTGGTTTTGCATCATGCCCGTAACTTCTGGTTGAGCTAGAGCATATCTATTAGAGTGACTTTCTGTCTTGATTGAAAAGATGTAGTGATGTAGAATCCATCACATCCCTTAGTAAGTTGTTCCAATTGTTTATTATCCTTTCTGTTTGGGGGGGGGGGGGAAATGTCCTCTTATTAGTCTGAATTTGTCTAGCTTCAGCTTCTAACTATTGGATTTTGTGTTATGCCTTTGTCAGCTAGATTAAAGAGCCCTCTACTAGCATAAATCATGCCATATAGGTTCTTATGGACTTCAAGTTAAGTTGCCTCTTAACTTTCTCTTGTATACATTGAGCTTCTTTAGTGTCTCACTATAAAATGGGTTTTCCAGACCTCAGATCATTTTTGTAGCTCTTTTCTGAACCCTTTCCAGTGTGCAACATTCTTTTAAAAGTCTGGGCACAGGATTCCTTAAAGGTCTCACCGATGCTGTACCCAGTGATAACATCTCCATACATCTACTCAGTATTCCCCTGCTTATACATCCAAGGATAGTATTTGCCATTTTAGCCACAACATCATACTGGGAGCTCATGTTCAGCTGGCTATCCACAATGACCCGTACGTCCTTGTCACTCACTGGTTTCCAAAATACAGCCCCTTTTCCAATAAGTGTGACTTACTTCATAACCTCCTAGATATGACCTTCCATTTAGCTGTATTAGAACATAAGTGAGCCCAACTTACCGTGTGATCCAGATCGCTCTATAGAACTGATTTGTCCTTATTATTTACCACTCCATTAATGTGTGTTATCTGCATACCTTACCAGCAATGATTTATATGTGATCACTGATAAATTATGTAATAGCACTGGGGCAAGGACACATTTCTGTGAGACCCCATTAGAAACACAAAGCAATACAGCTTAGCCTTTCTACAGCTCCCCCACATTTGCAAAATAATAGCACAATAATGTGATGATGAGCTAAGTGATTCACAAATAGTCATGTCTGGTCTCTCTGGTATATGTGTCCCTGTGTGTCTGGTCCGCGTAGGATAGGAGTCTTCTGCAGCTCACAGTCAGAGTTTGGCTCTTTCCCTCAAACTGTAGAGAATCATCTTTCAGCTCTGGATGTTCCTGATGTGTCAGCCAAAATGGAGCTTTCACAATAGTTGTGTTTATTTTTTTTCTCGTTAGCAACTTTCTGACTCAAGTTTTTTTCCCAGACTATAAAACCTGGAGGAAAAGTGTGCTGATACTATATCAGAGAGAGCATGAGCTGGTGCGCAGAGAGATTCATTTGGAGAAAAAGTATTTATTTAATTGGAAAGAATGCAAAAAACTGTGTGTGCTTGATTCAGTATTTTAATGAGACTTCAGTCAAGAGGTGGGGTTCTAATCTGAATCTTCACCACATATGTGCTGTTTTGTGGGCAAGGTTTCGTTGCTGAACTTTACATGTGTTCCTAATGCCTCTTTAGAAAACACTGGCACAGGACGTTCAGATACTAGCCTTAGTAAAATGCATTAAATTGGTTGTTCAAACAGGCTCAAAAGAAGTGTTCACCTGTTGTAGATTTAACTTGTGACCAGTGTAATAGATGCCAATCAGACTATGGAGGTCACATGCGTAAAAGAATGGCTCAGAAAAAGGGATTAGAGAGGAAGTCCAGTGGTAAAGGTACTGGCCCAGGACTCAGGAGAACCAGGTTCAAATACATGCTCTGCCATAGGCTTCCTATGTGGCTTTGGGAAGATATTTAGTCTCTCTCTGCCTCAGTTCCCCATCTGTAAAATACCTCCTGGTTATGTTGAGGACAAATTCATTAAAGATTGGGGTGCTCAGATCTTACAGTAATGGAGGTTATACAAGTACCATAGACAGATAGTGTTTGGTCTCAGGGAGGCAATCTCACAAACTCTAATGAGAATCATAGAATATCAGGATTGGAAGGGACCTCAGGAGGTCATCTAGCACAAAGTATTTTACAAAGCTCTTCTTTCTTTCAAAACACTGCTGTTGGGAAAAGTCGTCATGATGGAACTGGGAGTCAGGAGATCTGGGTTTTATTTCCCGCTCTGCTACAGTCTTCCTCTGTGATCTTTGGTCATTTCCCACTTTTTCCACAGGTTAAATAATAGTAGATAATAATAAACTCCCTCACAAGAGTGTTGAATCTTAATTCACCAATGTTTCTGAACTCATCAATGGTTGTCGAATTGAAAGTGCTATGGAAGTGCAAAGTTTTTGTATGAAAGTATCTTAAAAGTGTGTGTATGTACACATAGAATATAGAGAGTCTTCAGTAGCAAAGAATTGCAAGGTGCTTTACAAACTTTACTAACTGTACGTTGTGTGTAGGTTTAGATGACTTTGCTTCCAATTCAGCTCTGCTGGAAAACCATTACCAGTTATTTTGTCTTTGAATGAAAATACTAAATGCTTTAAATCTGTCTCTAAAAATAGTATTCTTAAAGCCATTTAACCCTACTGTAGGATAGCCTTAACAATGGATTCACAATGTCCACTGTGTTTTGGTAAAGTCTGCCATGAAGAGATTGCAGCTATTAGAACATTCTTACAAAAATCAAACTAACACTTTAAAAATATTTTAAATTTGTTTAAACAGTAAATTGTAAATCAGTAATGGAGTATGTGATTAAAAACTAAACTGCAGAGTGAAATTTCTAGCGCATGTCAAACACAAGAACAGGAAAGATAGACTGAGACCACTGGAAGTCTAAGTTCATGAAAAGGGTTTTCTTTGTTTTGTCACTAAACTTGATTCAACTAGATCACTGTTTAGCTATTTCCTCCATTAAACTTTTTATTGAACTATTATCTGTCACAGCCCTTATGGATCATGAAAGCACTAAACCCATTTGCCCCCTGGTATTGCCTCCAGGTTGGTGATAGTTAAGTCTGTGGAAGATGGGTTTTATAGTTTTATAGTTGATTTTATGCTACTAGTACCAGTTTATTTACTGGCACTGTAGATTTTTCAATTTTGGCTTTATTCAGTGGTGGGGGGGGGGATACTCAATTAAAATAATTGAATTAGGATAAGAGGGTTTGAAGTGTCTCCATTTGATGAAGTTATTACACGTTTCGTATGTTAGAGTTATGTTTAGAGGGTCATGTTACATTTTCAGGACTTGCTTTTGTAAGGGTACAATGGATGGTTTGCTTAATGCTTATTAGTTTTTAAGGATTGGGTTTTTTCAGCATGTCTTTTATGCACTAAGCCAACACTTCCCAAAGCGTGAGGCACACGCCCACGAGGTGGGTAGGAAGGACTAGCTAGGGCAGTGCAGAGGATATATAAACTAAGATGTGTAGGCTTTTAACAACATATATCAGGGATGCACTGGGGGCTTGCAAGTATTTCCATTTTCTAGAAAAGGGTCGGGGGAACTCAGCTTCCAAAAGTTTAGCGAACACTGCATTCAAGTGCTGCTGCTGTTCTCCACATTAATGAAATTAGTGCTATCTCTGCTCTGTGGTACTGTAAGATTTATTCTCCTTAATGTGAATCAGCATTATCTTGTATAGTAACGGGGTTTTTTTTTGTTTGTTTCTAGGAAATGTGACTACTAGTACGTCTGTGTCTCAGATGGCAAGTGGGATCAGTCTAGTCTCCTTCAACAGTCGCCCCGATGGTATGCATCAGCGTTCCTACTCAGTTTCCAGTGCTGACCAATGGAGTGAGGCGACAGTCATTGCAAACTCTGGCATCAGCAGTGGTAAGAGACAAGTTGGGTTTTTTGCTAGAGTTCTTCTGTGTGGACTTATGTCACTCATCTAGGTACATTGTCCCAAGCAAAGCTGCAACCATTTAAACAGAACAAAAAGGATGAGAAGGGGGGAGAAGAACATAAATTAACAAAACATCTCTTCCTGTGGCATGGAAAGGCTAGGAGTGCTGTGGAAGCAGCGAACGTAACTGCACCAGGAAGGAGATGCCTTGTGTTGTCAACTACTCCATACCTGAAATTTCACATAGGCCCAAAATTATTAAAAGCATAGCAAAGCCAGGGTTGTTTTCTAAGTGCATAGCTTCCAAGACATCTTCACTGCATCTGTGAATGAAGGTACACAGTTCTCATCCCCTTATTCCCTTTGTTTGTGGTCTTAAGTGTTGAACTATTTATTATTTTATTTTTATTGTTGTAATTGGCTAGCTGTAGGCAGAGCCAGCCTTTGGAATGAATCCCACAGCCACTGTCTCCATAACCTCAATTGGAGGAATTTGTAAATGTCAGGACTACTCTGTTTCCTTTCTTAAAGACGTTTCTAGCCATCTCTCTTGTGAAGAGAGCCTTGAAACTGCTGACCAATCACAAGGGTTGCAAGTTTGTCATAGTGATTTGTCCAACAAAATCACAGTTGTCATTGATATCTTGATTTCTGAAAAGATCCCAGACCAATTTGATGTTGCGTCAGAGGTGTTGCCTGAGCTGCTATAAGCTCCCTACAAACTTGTAGCAGACTGTTTTCAGTTGAGCTTGTTCCTCTACTAAGCACACATTGTGGGCTTTGGCCTCAAGGGGGAATGTCTGAATAGCATGAAAGGTGCTGTGGTCCAGTGGACTACACATGGGATTGAGAACAAGAGAGTCCTTTATTCCAATCTTAGGTCTAACACATAATCTGTCTGTGACCTTGGTCAAGTCACTTCCTGCCTTAGTAGTCCCATCTGTAAAATGGGGCTATACTACTCGCCTCACATAGGGAGTTGTGAAGATTCCATTAATGTTAGTAATGCACTATGCAAGTGCTAAATTTTTAGTATTTGAAAGAGCGGCAAGGGGAAGCACCATGGAGAGCCCACAAAAGTATGGTGGAAGTAATGGAATGGAGAAATCATAAAGTGGAAAGCAAAGGGAACCTTGAACAGAGTAAATGGAGGAAGGGTGTGAACAACATGGGATGAAGTGACCGTGAAAGAGAATTAGAGAAAAAGAAACTGCTGCTTTTGAGGCTACTCCTTAAAATAGTGACAGTTATAAGGGTCTCAGAAGGACACATTTTGTGGTGCGTGCACACACGCACACAGCTGTTGCTGTTTTGGGTGTATCTGCTGATCTTAGCTTTTTGTCTCTTATGTGGGCAAGCCCTACAGCATTCATGAGTGTGTTACCTATGCTGGTATGAAAAAGAGGCCTTCCCTTTCTCCTACACCCAGCTACATTTTATACCTCTTACATTAAGGACATCTAATTCTGTTTTATGACTTGGCAATCATATGTAATTACTTCTGGATCATAAGAGACAACAACCAGGGTCAGCTGTGCTCCATTTACTCAAAGGATACAGGAAGACTGAGAAGTAAATAACGATAGAAACGTGATATTTGCATCATTTCCTGCTTTGCTCTTTTACATTTTGAAAATACTGGGAGAACTTCTTTTCACTAGGTCTTAGACAAACAAATGTCAACATAAACATTAACTATTGTGATCGATAAAACTACTTCAAAAACTCAAAAATGATTCATCTCCATCAGTGTACCCTCTTTCTCTTAGATTGTAGAACTTATCCTTTATGCTGGCAGTTGACACATGAAAAACCCTTTTTAATTTCAGCTTTTTTGCCCCAATAAAAGGTTTTGAATTTTAGAATCATAAAAAGATAATGCTGTGAAAGCAGCAGGGATAGGGAGAAGCTAAGCATCTTTTGGAATTCAAATGCCAATGTACTGGAGAATATGCCTGCTTATTGTCACATGGTTTTATTGTAGACAAAATAACATATTGGGATTCAATTTTTCTCTGCACCTTTTTTCACATTAAATTAATACTTTGTGTGGCTCCCGAGAACTTTTCAAAGTCTTCCTATCCAGACCTTTGGTTTCCTGGGGCTTCAGTCTTTTAAGCAGCTGTGAACATCTCCTAATTAGATAAATTACTTTGTAGTGGGCAGAGCCACAAAACAGGAGGTGCTGGTTAAATTAAAGGGGAAAAAATAGAAAAATCCATTCTCTGAAATGGAATGCCCCACTGCTTTATGACTATTACTGTTGTAAGGTTTTACATTTAAGTACCTGAGGTTTAAAATTAAATGTCTAATATAATTTGGCACTGGTAACAGGAAGCCTGTGACTGCCCTTAGAGAAAATCTAGACAGCTTAGTTCAATGTTTCAAATTGCTGTCTGCTTGATAGTGAGCAAATCATAGGTTTGGATCGCTATTTAGCTAAATACCACATGCTGCTCAGCATAATTTTAAATGCAGTAACATGTTCGTCTTTAAGTTTCTGAATTTAAAAAGACTGTTCCAGGACTACATGAAATTTTTTTTTACCTTTTTTCTTACTCTTGTAAGTGTTTGACAGAAGTAATTTTAGCAGCAAGAGAATAAAAACTGGGGGCAGTAAATCCCTGTCTGGAAACCTCTTGTATAGATTCTTTATGGACCTAGAATTGATCTACATGTCAGATCCTGATGTAGCTTAAACTGTTTATCACCCTAATGGCAGAAGTAAGACCATGAACATCAACTTATAATCCTCTGTGAAAAAAATTGGTGTTTGCAGTCAATGAAGGAGCAGCTTAGGTTTATTGATAGATTTAGAACAATTACATCTGCAACAACTATTGGCTGATGGGTTTTCTTGAATCTGATTGGAAGCCTGTGATTTTTCTTTTCTTTGATTAATCATTTTCTTGATGGATAATTTTCTTTAAAGGTGTGGCTTCACACTCCTGGGGATAGGAGGGTCATATGGTCTCTGGGGAGCTATTCCTAACTTGCTTAGTTGTTAAATTTTACTTCAAGACAAGATCCTTTGTGTGTGCTTCACACATGCTTTTAGTGGTACTAAGTAAATACTGCCTCTGTTCATCTAACCATCAGTTCCATTTTTTTTTCTTGGCACAGGAAGGAAGTACACACCCACTTTTTCATTTTCTTCAAATTGTTCTAGTTTTCTCTTGGTTAGTATTTAGACTTCAGAGTTCTTGATTGTATTTTATTATTTTATATTGTAAAAAATGGAAATAGCTGTATTTTGCTGGGCCTATGAATTTTTGGTCAATCATTGGCTGTTGCTCGAATTATGAAGTATCTCAAGCTTGCGTAGGAAATTCATTCTTCCAGAGGAAAATATCAGTTATTACTAGCACTTGATACAATCACTGGTGAATACTGATCATGTCTGTTCTCTATTACATACAATTTATAGATCTTAACAGAGCTCAAGAGAGAGAAATTCCGTGATCTTAATAGGACCATCTCTTTTGATAAAAGGTGACCATAGCCAATTTTATGAGATCAGGAAACTAAGTTCTCCAGACCTCATTAACAAAAGGCTGAACATTTCTTTTCCATCCCAAGATATGCAATGCAGCTCATTCATTCTCTCTTCTCAGAAGTTCATTCACCCTCTCTTCTGAGAAGTTAGGATTTAAGGTTTGATTTGTTGGAATGTGTCCCAAAAATAGTATATTAGATACTCTTTCCATTTCAAGCATAACAAATGTTTATATGTAATAATAGTAATGATAATACCTAGCTCTTGCATAAGTTCTAGTGCCTCAAACTAGATTAATTCACACGCGACAGGGTATTTGTACTCTGCTTTTATGGAGCACCACGTATATTTCTAGAATAAATTATTACCATATTGTCACATGAAATCTTCTTGAATGCCATCTGCATATATTTAATCTCTGAAAGATGGTTTATTGTATTTACAGTGTCATCTCTTCAGTAACTTGTATAAAGCACAACACCTAGTTTCTATTCAGTCTCCAGCAGTTTGGTGTTATCAGGGTTTATCAACCTCAAATTAAGTTCCTGCTGTGCCAGGGGATACAACTGGTATTTTGAGCTTGTACATTTATGCAAACCTTACCCAGGTTACTTTTCTGATGGCAATCACTTTGTCTCATAACAATTAGTGAGTTACGGGCTCTGAAGACCTACGGTACATTTGAATAGAGAGGCTTGGCTTTGTGTGCACACTCAGGAAGTTTCTTCTGGCAGTAGTGTCAAAACTCAATTTTGAAGGTGAACTGGAAAGATTTTAGTTTTAAAGAATCATTTATAATCCCAAATCAATAACAAAGTTCGGGTAAGGTAAACTATATTGTATTTTTAATACATTCACAAAGCTTTTCAAAATTAGTTCCTCTGTCACTTATCTGCTAAGTCTTGCATACAAGATTTGGAACGTTCCCTGTAATAGCTAGTATCTTCACAAAACCCTCTAAAATGCTGGGATTCCTGTTTCAGGTGGTAATATCATCAATGGTTACAGAACATGTACAGAATCCTGAACTCAAGTCTCAAGTAGTAAACGAGAAGGAATGGATTTTCAAATCTTCTCTTTTAAAATGCAAATGTGTGTGTTTGTTTTTTACTTTGTTTATACACACAGGTCAGGTTACTGCTTTCTGGTTTTCAAATTAAATGTTTACATTTTGCTTTCAAACAAGTATTGCAGTGCCACTATTTTCTAATTCTTTCTAGCTTTCAACTTGGGGAAGCTTTGTTCTGCAAATTAGTTGCATCAACAAAGTCTCTTTGAAAAGTGGGGAACGCCATTAGAGAATTAATCCACCATTTTTGTTTTTCTGTAAGAGTGGAACATAAAGCAAGCCTGTGTCCAAAAGAACCTTTTCTGATAACCTATCAGTGTGCATCTGTCACTGTTGCACCATAGTAGCAACATTGAAATTTGAAGGGGCATGTCACAACTCAATCAATCATGTTGCAGCATCTACAAAACAGGCTTTGGCCA